AATATCAAGAAAGTGTGTTACCTTGATTCACGAATGAAGAATGAATGCTTTGAGGGAAGTAGTTGCTCTGTCAATTTACTTTCTCGCATGGACATGATAAAATCCATTTCCTCCAAATCACATTTGACATAGGATAGCTGCACTACAAGGCAGAATATTTAAATAGCAGAACCCAAGACCAAAGCAGTACAGAAAGATTTGAAAAGCCAAATAACACATTAAATAAGATATTTCAACATATATTCATATTTATTTCTTACAAGTATTCCAAAACGTCAGGGTTAGCATATCCATATAATTGTTAGGCAAACACTTAAGATGCCAATGGTAAAAAAATTCACAACAGAACATGCCATATTGCTGTTATGCAAATAAATGGAGCTGCTCCATCTTGTCCTCAGTTATTTCATCACTTTATAATCATAAGTTTAACTTGTCAAAAATTACTATGAACATGTATATGAATACATGGATTTGGATCAGGAAGCTCTCCAAATTTCCAAGTGCAATTTTACTAAGTAAATAGAATTACCATTGCAACTAGAACCCCACCAACGTTATCCAAACTCCAAAGTCTACTTTGCAACTGAATAATTCATATCTATCCAGGGAAATTTAAAAAAAAAACACTCCAAACCATCTTAAAATTTTATTATCAGGAAAAGACTAAATTAGAAGGACAAATGTCAGAGACAGGATAGAATAAAATGAAATAAATTGCAGAATCTACGATTCTATAAGACGGATGAGTGTTTTGCACTTCATTTGAAGGTTCAGCTAGAATTTTTAATCAGAACCAAATCTACAGTAATACAACTAGTACATACCATGATATAAAAAAGTATAAGAGAAACAGCAGAGCATATTTCAGGCCACTCAGATGCTGTGGAAATTTTAAATAGACCAACAAAATCAGCTATCCTCTGTAACATATTTGAGAACTCTATAGGGAGCTGATACACATAGAGCAAAACAATGTTGAAGCCTGCATAAAGCTGGAGCGCCTTCCACAACCTTGAGAAGAAAGTACCAGAATGTAAGCTACTAAAGGTATTGACAAATGGTAACAACAAATACATTGGAAAAAAAGAAATTGAAACACTATTGAGTGGTGGACAAAGGGTGACAAGCCAATCACCTAAACAGTCCTAGAAAATTGCTTGTCAAAGACCAATCCACTAGCCCAACACAGCTACCAATGAAAAATGGCAAAGACACCCATGACGGATGGCTTATTCCCACGACCAGCTGAATAGGAGGTAGAAGCAAACACGAAGCAACTCTAAGATGGGAACCTTTCATGAAAGAAAGCATGGAGATAATTTTATATCAGTTTCACTTTTAACATAAATATGAGGGATAACATACTAAAAGAAATTTAAAACTCTACTGTAATTTAAGTTCAGAAACTGAAAGAAAATAAGGATTGACTACGAAATGCTTCAAAATAGTTTTAGCTATCCTTTCTTTTCTTTTAGTGTAAGGGACCAACACTTGTAACAGTTCCTTGACAACAGAGAAGGCTTAATGGAGATTGAGATTGATGTGTAAGACGTATAAAGTTGACTGGAATTCAGTTAAGCAGCACTACGATATCAGTTGCCTAACCCGTAAAATAGCAGCCTATCAGGCAGACATATTAATTCATTCTGCACATATATTGGATATTACGAATTTGTCAGGGGTACAACTCATAGCTACAGCAAAGCTGTAATGCGGAAAATACCAAGCATTTGTGCTCACAGCAAACTCAACATGTTATTTTTCTAGAAGAACATTCAACATATTACCATATAAGAACCCTCAACCAGAATGAGAACTTTACATCTGACAAAATCATATGGGAAAAAGATTGTTTTAGAAGTTCTAGTAGCTAATTGATAAGCATTTCAAGTAGGCTAAAAAGTCTCAAAAATTTCATCTCAAGTCCATATGGCCCAAAAGACCAAAAGAGAAATACTCCAAAGATCACAAAAATTGCTATCATTGATCCAAAATGAAAAGAAGATAACAAGAAGACTTTATTACTGCTTTAGAAAGGGATGATCGGGGGGCAAGGGGTATGAACATGATTGAATCATTTAACAACGAGAATAAAATCAGCTCTTGCCCATATCCTCTTCATACAATGAGCAAATGTCCAAATTGCAAAATATGCATATCAGATCCGCTAAATGGATCCTTCTTTAGGGTGGAGAGAGTACATAGTGCTTCAATGTCATGAAAAATTATTAGAAATATATGGAAATACTTACAAACCTAAATGTTCAACAGCTGTTAAGAAATGACCCCAACAAGAATACCGCCAAGGAACAAGACCAAATTTGGTCCCATGTATATCAAGTAAAGCAACAAATACCACTAGCAATTGTACAACCAAAAAATAAATCACAGTGGGAGATTTCCAAGACTGGATTCTGCAAAAGCATACCAAAAGAGACAAATTATCAAAAGATGCAGAGGCAGTGAAGAAACAAAAGAATTAGAGAAAACAAAATATATTCTCACATCATAAAACCAATTAGCTTCATCCACCAAGCATCTCCTACACTCTGTTTATAACCATCAGCGGCCCATATAACAAGATACACAGCTTGTGAAAGAAAAACCAGTAGGGAAAAGATAATAACAGGCCACAGTAACAAATATTTCCTCCGAAAACGAAATCCTACAAGAAAGTAATCACATGTTACTTTATAAGAAAAGAGTACAACTTCAACTAAAGCAATAAAGGAACAATAATCAGAACCAGAAGTTGAACTTCTAAATTGAAAGACGCCTGGAAAATATCTCAAACCTCTTTGCTAATTTTCTTAAATATCAAAAAGAAAACAAGACTCAGGATTAATTTAGCATTAAATACTGTTTTCAGTGAACCTACAATAAGCACTTTGTAAAGCTCATTCAATATATATTCAACTAAACCCAAAGCACCAACCAGAAAAAAAGGTAGAAACTCAAAGCAACAACGTCAAAGAAGTATGACCCTGCTTAATTATGGAACTAGAGGACAGCGAAGATAAAACAAAATCCTTACTAGCAAATCTTCATTGCTTACCTATTTTAGGTGCAGTATACTGAATGAGAAGGAAAGCTATCAAATCAACAAGAGAGACCAAACTCCAATTAATCAATGCAGCTGCATAAAAGGTAAAACAGGTAAAAATCATTAATTACTCCAATGGCAAAGCACATATGCATTTGTCTATGCCTATGCACAAAAATGTATTGCAATTCTGAAACAGTAACTCCCAAAGTACATCAAAGAATACAAATGAGAATCTCAACAAAGGGTATTTTTCTCTCAGTGAATATTAGACGTAGATCGTTCTTTGTGTAATTTTCTAGCAAGAGCTCTCAACTTCTATTAATTAAACTCTCTGTTGTACTTTGCTTAAACCAGGCCTCAAAGCGCATTACAAAGCAAACCTGTACCTCAGCAACCAGAGTGCCAATGGAACTTTTTCACTTTTCAAGTGACTTTTAACTAATACAACACCTCTACACTTGTTATCTTTTCAGGTTCCAAAGTGAAGACAATCAGTTGATAAATATTATGCAGAATAAAAGACTGCAAGACACCTGGTGTCACAAGCTAACTTTAAGATCAGTTCAGGTATCAATAGGTTAGATTTTTGTCAGTCTCAAAAACTCCAAACTTACACATTCCTTGTCTAGTTCAACATTGACTCTTTACAAAATAGAAATGAATTCCAAACAATAGAGGAAATGAAATTGAACAGGTTGCTATTAAATAATGAAAAGACTAGTGTTCACCACATGAACTCATGAGTTGGAAACAAACGTAGGATACAGGTTTCCTCACTCTTAACACCAGCTTGGATAATTCAATAAAGGTGATTTAGACTCTCGTGAACTTCCTAACACATCCCCATGGCATTCAGACTTAGTTATTTCCCTATGTTACAGCATCCAAGAATGAAAACTTATGCAGGCAACTAAATTACACTGATAAACATAAGCACTCATGAACATAGCCCATATAAAAGCAAACAAAAGGTGGATTCCAACACAGAACCAACATAATTTAAATGAATTGCTATTAAAAAAAGAAGACAAAATGGAACTAAAAGAAAAAACTTTCAGCGTCTTATATACAAACAAACACTCTGATAATCAATTTATAAGGGCAAAAAAAATTAAAGGAAACTAAGGTAATTAGAATAAATAGCAAAGCATACCCGTTAGAAGCAGCAGAGGCAAGACGAACCCAGCAAGAAAACTCCCCATTGAGATTAGCACTTTAATACCAACAACACCAGATCAATCCAGAACAAAGACAAAATCCGCTCATGGGTTTTCAGTTTTTATTAAAATATACGAAACCCCATTCCAAGGCAAATCAAAAATTTCCTCCAAACGAATAAAAAGAAGGAATTTTGAATTGAAACCCCCCAAAGAAAGCTCGGGTCATGTGTTTTTCTGGTGTGGGGAGAAAGTAAGAAAAGAATAAAAGGGAATACACGAAGATTAGTTAATTAGGCTTTCCAACATTACGGACAAAATCGAATCATCAAAATTTTGATGTAGTAAAAAATGTAATGAGAAACAATAAGTATATAGATTTATAATTATGACTAAAGCGTGATAATGATGGGAAACTACCAACTGCTAACTACCGGTCCAAACAGCCAGTGTCGCATTGATCTGAGGCAATAGAACGTAGTTGGAACTTGGAAGCGAAGCGTATAAGATTTTGTTTTCTGTTCTCATCAAACGTTGAACCTTTTCTCCGTTAAAGTAAAGTACAAATGTCCATGGTGGACGAGCCAATGAGAACCTTTTTTTTTCTCATTTTCCTGTTTGGGGCTTGAGATAGTTCTGGTTTACTTTGAAAACCTGGAGGAATTGCGGTCCGTGTTTGAGGCTATTATGGTCATGAAAGATTGCTGCGGGGGTGAGCAGTGTTGGGCCGGGTTTGAGTAGTCCGAGGGGGAACGGCGTCGTTTATATGGTGACAATCGCGCCATTTTTAACAGCAAAATTTAGCCTCGAGTTCCTTATCTCTTACCCATCTGGTATTTTTGGTTTCAAATTCAAGAATTTCTGGATTTCAATGAGAGAATTGATTTGAGAGCGTGTTGGTCATTCAACATGTACTCGTTGATTTCAACGCCTCTTTGCAACTTTGGCGTTTCAAAGTTCCCTTTACCAACTTCTTTCAATTTCAGTTACAACAATAATCCCCAGTTTCTCAGCTGCAGAAAATCCCTGCAAATACATGCCAATGCGGCAAATGAAGTAGATAGACAGATTGAAACTGTTCAGGAAGAACCCAAAGAAGAAAACTTAGAAGCTGAACCCCAAAATGGAAGCAACAACATCTCCAGTACTCCCTCCCCTTCCACTGCACCCCTTGACAAGGACCTCAAAAAGGTTGGGTTTTGATGTTTGGTTTATCTTTACATGGAAAATTGGTTGATTTTGGAATTTCAGGCTGATTTTGAGGATGTCCATCCATTATAATTGAAAACAGGTGGTTCAGAAGACTGCTGCAACCTTTGCACCAAGGGCTTCCACAGCTACTAAAAACCCTGCTGTGCCTGGAACTGCCTTGTATACTGTTTTTGAGGTTCAAGGTTATGTCTCAATGTTGTTGGGTGGAGCTTTATCTTTCAATCTCATATTCCCATCAAATCAACCTGACATATGGAGATTGATGGGGATGTGGTCTATTTGGATGTTCAGTGAGTTAAACTACCCTAATCCCTGAAAGCTTTTAATTAATTTACTGCATATTCTGGTCCAAGGGTTTCAGTAGATGCATTGAAAATTTTGCAGTGCATCATCTATTGCATGTTCAGCAAACTACAATATTCAGCTACTACTTACTAATGCCTATTTCTTTACAGCAATTCCCTCCCTTCGAGCCCGAGACTGCTCGAAAAATGAAAAAGAAGCTCTTAATTATCTCTTTCTCATCGTGCCATTGCTCAATGTTACAATCCCTTTCTTTTGGAAGTCTTTTGCGGTCGTCTGGTCTGCTGACACCATAGCCTTCTTTGCCATGTATGCCTGGAAGGTACTTTTACCCGTGGATAATCTCCTCCTTTTTTTACTATTACACAATTACCGTCTGTGAGCATTTTTCTTATTGAATCGATATGTGCTTCCTACAGCTTGGATGGCTACAGAAAACAGAGTAGGAATTAATTGCATTGGCCTTTGATTGGATCATGGAGCTATTATTCTTAAATGATCCCCAGTTTCAAACCCATGATGCATGCGAGATACAAAATTCCTTCAATCTGATTATTGCGGTAACTCACAACCAGAACGATGATTATTCATGATTAACATGGCAGGGGGTGGTTGTTTCATCTGAGTAAGACTCAAATAGATATCTCTTAGAAATGTAATTAAAAACTGATACCGATTCATCTATATTCTTGGGGTCTTGGCTGGTTCTCTCTTTTCTTTTGAAACTCAAGCTTCAAAGCTGTTTCTCAGGAATTTTGTGTACACTCACAAGTCCATTTGGAGAATCTACGGATTGAATTTTCTGAATCTCTTCAGTGTCTTCTTTTGGCATGCAAACTGATAAATCTGTGAAATTGTCATGGCGCGTTTGTAGTTATTGTATTTGAATAGATGTCACAGGAGATTACTAGATGCCGTTAGGTATTCATTTCTCTATTCCAGCATGAATCAGATACCCCACTAGGCGGAGCCTAAGGGGACGCTGCTATTGGTAGGTCATTGTAATTCGATAGCATAGCAATGGTAAGTAGGATGATGGTTTTGGCAGAGGTAGCAACAGAGGCTCCGGTGGACACCTTTCACTAATGAGTTTTCATGGACTCAATTAACAACAATACATGTAAAACCTATACCTTGCAAGTTAAACCTGGTGAAGCCAAAGAAGACAGAATTACCATCACCAAGGATTCATTCTCAAGAATTCATGAAAAGCATCAGAAGAAAAGGATGAAATGAATGTCATATACGCTACACAAATTTTTGTCAGAATTCAAGTCAGTAGTTACAAGATGTCTCGTATTTGAATGCAGATGCTGATATCTAAACAAGCACCTTATTATGTGGTAAAAATCACAACTGAAAAAGAAAAGAATAATTGTAAACACACTGGAGAATCGAAACATGATGCATTGATATTTATGGTGTCTACTCTAGGTATCTGTATCCATCAACAACCACATGCCAAACTCCAAAGCGCACTATATCAGAAGGAACATCAGTCTCCGCCTAAGTATGGCTGAAAAAACGAAGGTGGATTCTGGTAAGTGGTCAATGATGATACATTTAAAGCTTATGATAAAAATAACACTCAAGCAATGAAACACACAGAATAAGAAAGAAGAGGAAGGAGAAAATGCAACTACGGCAGTGATGCACATTACAACCCAGCCAACTACAGCTAGTCATTATTTCTGCAAAGGATTTTAATGAGATCCAGCCACAATGGCCAACTGAGGCAAGTCAGCAACAATGTTCTTAGACCACCAGAAGTGTACATACTTCTATGTTATATGTATTTCCTAAATGAAACCAAAATTGTCACATCACCCTAACTTCAGACACTAGGACTTACCAAAACCATGTCTTTTGTCATGTGAGGCTATGCAAAATATAAGACAACATGGTTAAGGCAGTCTGCGACATTCAATTAATAAAGGCAGAGATAGTCCATCCATCTGTTTCAGCTTAACAGAAAGTTTACCTTTTAAATATTGCATCCACCTTCTCCACATAATGATCTGATTTGAGAAAACCAAGAATCTCTACTGTGGAACTGTATCTGAACCTGACCAACTGTTTTATATAGATTCATCATCACTATCCTCATACTCAGAATCAGACTCATTGCTTCTTGGTTCCATCAGTGAATTCATATCAAAAGAAGGCATCATTTCCATCTCCTCCATCTCAATGGTGTCATAGTTCATCCGTTCCTTAAATTTCTCATCAGAGCAGTTAAGGAGCCACGAAAGAGAACATTTAAAACCCTTCTTTGCAACAATCTTGTGTCTAAGCTTTATAGTAGACTCAAGACTGTAAGTAAAGAATGCGGGGAAAGCAACCAAATCATCAAGTGGCCTCTGCATTTCCATTTGAAAGTAATCAAAGCTAAGTTTCATGATGTCAAGATTCAAAGCAAGCACTTGGGGACAGCCCACAACCATGTCCCTCACTTGTTGCGAGGAAATACCACAATCCTTTAGGAAATCCACATGCTTCACCATAGAAGTATTACTGAGGCTCACAACCTGAGGCATTTTCTCCACAACGGTCCCAAAATCCTCAGGACCCAAATCAGTAATTGATTGAAGCAAACTCCTTTGACCAAGAAGCTTTGGTATAAGATCAACTCCTACAATTTCAGGATACTGTGCTATTATAGATGGAAGTGATGCTCTTCTAACATTGAACTCAAGAAGGGATTCAACATTTGGTTTGACCCTCTCCTCCAATCCAAACCCAAGGATGTGAGGCCTCTTCTCTATCAATCTAGCTACAGCTAACCTTGGAATACCCAAGCCTTGAAGATACTCCACAAATGGCTTGATCACACGGCCTACTCGCATCCCCAGAATTTCAGGGTATCTTGTTAAGACCCCTCCAACTTCCCTTCTTGACACCCCAATGCCTACTAAATAAGCCACCGATGTGCTCATGGTTCCCTCAAGCTTGAATCCTAGGACTTCTGGATATCTCTCAAGGACCCGAGGAATATCATTAGGCTTGATATCCAACCCTTGAAGATACTTCACTACTGGGGCAAGGTCAACAACAACACTTGCATGGAGAACTTGGGGGTACCTTCTCAAAAACTCTGTGAAGGTGGATTTTCTAACACCCAATTTCCCCAAATAGTCCAGCACAGGAATCATGTTCTTTTTCACACTACAACCAAGAACAAGTGGATAATTGTTGATGTCTTCAATAGTAAGCCCCAATTTGTGAAGAAAATCTATACGTTCCTGCATAACCTCAACTGTGACAGGAAGTTCTAGCCCATCTAGCTCATCAGGAATTATACCAAGTCCCCTCAGAAACTCATAAACCTTGGCACGATTTGCCATCCTCTCCTTCTTCATCTCCAACAAACTAGGGCGACTATACAAGGACGAGGAATCGTCTTGTTTCCGACCCAAACGAACACTTTTTGGCTTTGATGCAGATGAACTCACAGATGTAGAAGCAAAGGTTCTATCAGCAACGGAGCACTGAACCCTTGTAATCAATCCAAAATTCCTCTCATAGTTTCTAGGGACTCTAAGAGTCGATGTCCAAGTTAATTTGGGTTTATGGAAGGTAAGAGCAGGTAATTCTGAATGTACGAGCAAAAAACTAGGATTTGTAATGCCAGCATAGCTTCTGATCTTCATAATTTCACAGTTCACACTGGTAGGAAAGATACAACACAGAACAGCAGACCAAATAAATTACATTTCCAAGAAGCAAGGAAAATCAACTCTAAAATGGGGTATTTTAGATGATAAGAAGAAAATGAATTTATACAATGAGACCTCAGAAAAGGTTATATTGTTACTGGAAAAATTAAGAAATTTCTACTTTTAGGTGCTTGGGTGGAAACCCAAGCCGCTAAAATGGCAATTAGGCGTCATTTCAGTAAAAATATACCATCATTTTTATCCAGACTCCTACACCAAAGAAAAAGACAAAGCAGACCAAGAAGAAGAAATAGAAGCTAAAGAATCTACCTTTCTCGAATTAAAGACACTAAATTAGCTAATACTCCAAATTTCACAGCTCCTAAATCTTGTTTTTGACTTGTCTATTATGTTTTCAGCAGCTAGATTATCATTTTCAGTAGGAACGTACTCCAATATCAAAAGAAACAGTAAAGCAAAAAATCAATATGAAGAATAACCTGCTCAGAATATTAGCCGGAGACGACCGTTGCCGCCTTGCCGTTGGCCGGAGAAGGGTGGAACAGTGTGGGTGCAGCCTAGAAGTGAAGCCCCGTGTTTCGAAGTGAGGTAAGCGGTGACTGGTGAGGACGCGGGGGTCAATCAAATTTAGAACTAGTAGATTTTTTTTCCCCTCAGTTGCTCTAGTTTTGTTTCTTTTCTGTTGCTTTTCCTACGTGGCGCACTCCGATGACATGGCAGAACAGATGTACTGTAGCCATAGCCCATATAAAGGTAAGCTCTTTCCTCTTTTTGACTTTTCGAACATGCCTGAATAGGCTTTTTCATCTGCATTTTCACCATTTCATTTGTACTTAAAATATTTACTTTGAATTTTAAATTTAACCAAGGATTTGGAATTATTGAGGGAAGGAAGTAATCCAATTTGTGTGGCCCAATTTTATGCACAACAATTTATTTCTATTTTCTATATTTATAGATTTTTAAAAAAATATATATTTGATATATTATTAGTATATAATTTTTGAATTTATTTTTAATGCACAATCAATGTAGAGCTTCTATACAAGGTTTGGTACCTCGTTAATGAAGTAAAATAAACAACTTTAAAGGCTTAAAATTAAATATTAAAAAGTTTATAATAACTAATTAAATAAAAAATAAAATATTTTCAGTTGCCTATCTCTTAACCTTTCTTTTTCTGGTTTTCTTTTTCTCTCTAACTCCACCATCCTCTTGTTCCATTAAAATTAAATTTTGCAAAAATTGTGCAACTTCAAAGGCGATTTTTAGATTATTTTTTTTGTTTTTTAAAACTCTAAGAAAGATTGAGAAAGCATACTTTTCAAAAAAGAAGATTGAGGAAACAATATTTAAATAAATAAATCTTATTAGTAAAATTTTTTTAAGTTAATAATTTTGCTTTTAAGTAACGTGATTAAGTCAAAAAATTCTCTTTTCCTAAAAGCCATATCCCACCTCTCTTTGTCGTCGCGTTGCAAAACGAAATTCACTTTTACTTAAATAGGTTGATTTTGAAACGTTTTTTAAAATAATTCATAATATCTCATCTAAAAATGGACTGATTTTTATGTAAAATCTTGAAAATATGAAGTTTAGTTAAAAATTCAAATGATTATGTAACATATACTAGATAATGATTTTAGTTTAAATACCAAAAACCATGTAATTTGGTTTAACATCTTAAATTTAAACTTACTAGCATTTTAGATTTTAGTAAAATGGTTAAATAACACCTCAAAAGAATTTTGATTTTGATAGGATTTTAGAGTTTTATGATTATATTCAATGAAAAAAAAAACCTAATGTTTGTGGAAAAAAACAATTTTTGACTTAATCTTGTTATTTAGAAGCAAAATTGTTAACTTATAAGATTTTGCTAATAACATTTATTTATTTGAATTTTGTTTCCTTCATATCTCTTTTTAAAGGTTCAAACCAAAAATAAAAAAAATTAAAAATTACTCTTGAAGTTACAGAATTTTACAAAACCTAATTTTAATGGAAAAAGAAAATGATGATAAAATTGAAGAGATAGAAAAGATAAAATATTTTATTTATTATTTAATTAATCATTATAAACTTTTTAATATTTAATTTTAAGTCTAAAATTTTTTTTATTAACCTATACTATACACTATTATCACATCAACTATAAATTCATAAATTTTATATACTATTAGCGGATCAAATATTTTATCTCGTTAATAAATAATTTAAAGGTTAAAAATTCTCAAAAATAAATGCTCATAATTTTAAATATATATATTTAAAAAACTTTTAAATTTTTAGCTTTATATATTAATGAAATCAAAATAATCTAGGTGATTAAATAATAATATATAAATTTATAAAATCAAAATCACACTTTGTGATTAAATAATAATATATAAATGCCATAAGAATGGCATTAGTTTATAAAAAAAAAAACTTTGCAAGGACATTATATTAAATATAAAACATTTCTTTTAAATTATGATAGGGGACTAACTTTTACTTCCCATTCGTTTATAAAAGGGAGGCTACTTACTTCCCATTAACGTAGACTATTACTTATTAAAAAACAAAATTTTATTTCGGGGGGGCAAGTTTAGAAGATTTGTAAGAAGAAAGTCCAGATACGCCATTTTCAGAACCAGAAAGGAGATGAGCCGGTGGCCTTGTTTCATATCCTTCTTTTTAACCTTCCTTTTATTCTTTCAAACCCTTGAAGCTTCCCCATACCCCATCAATGGTCAGTTTTGCCCTTTTTTTAAAGACCGATGGGCAGTTTAAATGATTGTTGATCACAGACGACTTATGTGCAGTATCTTTGAATGGATTTTTTGATGCAGGGTTTCCTCTGGTGAGGAACATTAGCGAGCTTCCAGAGGGTAGCTATGGAATTAAAGGTTTATCCCATACAACTCTTGCAGGTTCTGTCTTACATGGGATGAAAGAAGTAAGCTATTCACTTTCACTAAAACTCTGTTTGAGTTGAAGACGTTGGTTTCTCTCTCTTCTTTAGGTTTTCTAACAGTCGTTTTCTTTTTTCTCTTTTGTTTTTTGGTGGGATTCGTGCCACAGATCGAGATATGGCTTGAAACATTTTCGCCAGGAACACGCAGGCCAATTCACGGGCATGCTTGTGAAGAAGTTTTTGTTGTCCTCAGAGGGACTGGCACTCTGTTTCTTGCCTCACCTTCAGATGAAAACACTTAGACCATTATACGACCAATTATGCCTAACAATGTCCCTTTCCCAATTCCCAGGATTATGAAAGAGCAGAGAAGCTTTCAGCTTGTTATAGATAGGCATGCTCATAGTTATATCAGGGGAAGAAAGAACACTTTCTTCTATGGAAAATTGGCAATCTAGTAGACCCTGTATAGTTGTTCTTCACTGCCTGATGAATAATGTTTATGATCCTCACTGCAGGTATGGAATACAAATGAACTCGAGGATTTGCAAGTTCTTGTAATAATATCTCGCCCTCCTATGAAAGCGTGAGCAAGTTTTCTTCTCCAGTCCTTTTCCAAAATTCCTGAACATGCATCTTTATTATTTTCATATTACATTATCCATTTAGTGTAGACAGCATTCACTTTCCCCGGAATCACCAGATCATTAAACTTGGCCATTTTACTGTCAGTATATAGTATTCAATTCTCCTTTTTATGGATAGGATGTCCTTGGCCTTCATTACTTATTTTCCTTGTTCCTTTGCTGATTTCAAGTTTCTTTCATCCTTTTTTTACAAAGGCTAAGCTGAGGAAATTGTTGCTCTGTTTGCTTCGCCTTTCAGGTTTGTATATGAGGACTGGTCCATGCCTCAGACTGCAGCAAGGTTGCTGTTTCCCATGCCTTGGGATGAACAATGTCTTCAATCACCGCAGAGAGATGAGCTTTAATGTTTAAGCCACCCCCTCAGACTCTTGTATTGAACGGCCTTCCCGCCTGGGGCCATGGCTGGACTTTTACATGTTCTAAGTTTGCAAACTACTCAAACATGAATCTGCAAACCATTATATTGGTGGTCAAAGTAGAAGTTTAGATCTTTATATTTTCCTTTGAATTTCAATGTTTACAAAACCCCCATCTTCTCAATCTAGTACTGTTTTCATTATCAAACATATTGCTAGATTTATAGCCCTTTCTCTGTGACAAAATATTATATGGAAATAGTGCTATAATTAACCATGTTTTTCCTCTATAAAAATATTAGACAAGTTTACGAATTATCTCAATTTAAAACAAAAAAACACTTCTTGTTGCATTCATGATTAGTATTTTTTCACTGAAGACAAGATAACATGATTTTTTTAACCTAACAAAATTGACTAAATAGAATAATCATGTCTTGAATGGAAAACTTTTTCACTTAACCAATTTCGTTGAGTCAAAAAAGTGTGTGTCAACATTCATATCTGCAAAATATATTAGCTAGACATAGATGTTAAGGGCACTTGATACAAGTGACATTTGCCAACCAACATAAGAACTTATTTGGTATGAATTATAAGATAAAATTGATTTAAGTACAATAAAAAATAAATTTATTTAATAAAAAAGTTAAATTATCAACTTAGTTTTTGTATTTTATCAAAGTGGTGGATTTGTTCTCTATACAATAATTCGTAAAAACTAAATCCTTATACTTTTTAAAATTAACAATATTAATTTAATTGTTAATAGTATTCAAACTTTACTATTATTTATGTTGATATGATGTTTTTTTATTGATTTGACGTAATATATGATAATGCATTAATGATGATTTGACATTTTTTATCTGTTTCACAATAATTTTTTTACTATTTTAAATTATAGAAGACAAGAATTCTATTATTTTCTGTCCAACAACATTTTTTACCTAAATCTCATAAATCTATTCGTATTTTTAATATATTACTTTTTCAATCTCTTTTGAAACTATTAGCTCACATTGGGTTACTTCGAATCCGTAATTATAAATTCCATACCAAAGCTTGATCACATCATAGCGACACTATTATTGCATCATTCATGAAATGTAATTTTATCATTGCAATGTCATTAGATTCATTATCACATTGGGAAGAAAATGTCATGTCAATGCAGTCAAATACCATAACAATATAAATAATAGAAAATTTTTAACATAGTGGACTAATATTATCAAATTTGAAAATTATAGAGATTTAATTTTTATAAATTATTATATTGGGACTAAATCTATCATTTTGATAGGGAATGGGGACTAATTGTAAAATTTTACTTAATAAAAAAATTCAAGGAAGTAATTAATAATTTGGATTCACCTTTTTCTTTTTTAAAGCTTAAAATTAATAAAAGTTCAACTTATGCTTCATTTAAATGTCTACATAGAAGAACAAAAAGGAAAATAGTTTTCTTTTTTTTTCATAATAATTCTTTATTTCTCTATATATGCCCTTTTGCCATGAATTTTCTAAAAAAACTCCTTCCACATGAAAATATATTCATCTCTTTGATGAAATTCAAGAATATTTTTATTACCCTGAAAATTAATTAAGTTTTTGGCTTCTATTTCATAAATTTCATATCATTTTCACTATTTAATTAAAATATTCGAATTCAAACTATTAAAATGTTTTTGTGAGCACTAATAAAATTGAAGATGGTTTAATTAAAATATGACCATGAATGTAAAGATATGTTCAAGTGATGTTTAACAAAATACATTTTAGATGACATGATACTTAAAAAAGCTAACTCTAAACTATTTAAAAAATTAAAAAAATTCTTCTATTTCATTCAATTTTATATATTTTTACTTTAAATTTAATAAGTATTTTATTATTAATAATTAATTAATTACTATTAATCAAAATATTACTTGTTATTTTATATACATACGATTTTGATATAAAATTTATGTAAAGGGTAAAAATGACATATAACTATATTATCCATTCTCTCTTTTTTTTCAAAAATTAGATAGAAAAAGGAAAACAATCTATTTTATAAAGAAAAAATATTTTTTTCTGAACAAGGAAAATGTTATTTTAAAATGTCTTTTTTCTTGGTGGCATTTTCCCACGTGGAAGGATAGTGATGACCTGGCAAAAAACGGCAATTAGATTAGAAAAAAGGCCTTGGGTCAATTTTTAAAGAGGGGAAATGGAAAGAGCGGTTTCTGAAGTAGCGACGAGATGGTTGGACCTTGCCTTATTTCCTTCTTTTTCTTCTTCTTCAACTTGCTTCCATTCTCTCAAGCTCTCGAAGCTTCTCACTGCTCCATCAAAGGTGACTTTTTTTTTCGTATATTTTTCTTTCTGGGTATGTTTAGCTCAAAAAGCAATTGCTTTTGCCAATTTGCCCCATTTTTGCTAATGGCTTGTTTTAGTTTGCACTATATATGTTTTATATAGACTGGAAAAATCAGTGGAGGTTGTAGTTTCTTGGTCTTTGATTTATGGGGTTTTTTTGATTTGATTTATTTACTTTTTAAATATTGGGAAAGTTTTTTAAACACAGTAGCAGAATTTTCTTCAGTTTTCTTCTTCATGCCCTTTATAAGTGGCTGTGCTAAATGATAAATCTTTTTTTTTTTTTTTTTTTTTTGTGGGGGGGGGGGGGGTGTGGTGGGGGTTTGATACAGGGTTTACTCTGGTAAGGAACATTGGTGAACTTCCACAGGGTGATTATGGAAGAGGAGGCTTATCCCACATAACTGTTGCCGGTTCACTCTTGCATGGGTTGAAAGAAGTATGGATACACTTACTTCATTTGAATAATTACTTCTCTTGACTCTTTGAAATGTTTATTGCAATATTATTTTGTTTGTAATATTGTTAGAGTATCATAGTTAATGACATAGAAACCGCCAGTAAATTTATATGGTTAAAAGAGGTTTTATATAATAACCAACCTTATCCAAATTCAGTTTGTGATGTTTCTTTTGATATATAATCTTGCATTTTATAAATTGACCAACTTTTCTGAATATTCACAAACATCAGATAGAGTTAGCAATGAATAGTTTGAAGTTCAACTTTTATGTAGTAGGCAAAATGAAGATGTTGAATCTCTTTCTATGGATTGTATGTAAGACATATTTGGGTTTCCACAGGTTGAGGTTTGGCTTCAAACATTTGCTCCAGGATCGCGCACACCAATCCATAGGCACTCTTGTGAAGAAGTTTTTGTTGTTCTCAAGGGGAGCGGCACTCTCTTTCTTGCCTCAAGTTCACATAAGTACCCTGGAAAACCAGAAGAGCACTTTATATTTTCAAATAGCACATTTCATATCCCTGTCAATGATGTTCACCAGGTAAACCATTCTCCCATTAAAAATTTGTTGATGTGTAGAAACAGAGATAATTTTGTATTAGGTTTTGCCTATAATAATTTGATGCGGTTATTGTTAATGGGGTCAATTACAATAATTATGATTTTTTTAAAAAACTTGTAGGAACCAAGAATTCCCTAACTATTTAGAAGAAAACTGCAAAGCTAGTTATTATGAAGCTGTCAAATTTAAGTAAGTTTAATCCACTTCTGGCCATCTATCTGGAACATTGAGCCACTTCCCCAGCCAGTGAATCAACAATCCACGTAATTAGTTTAGTCTTTACTCTATAAGTTTGTTCAAGGTGCATTGCCTTTGTTTGCTTCTATGCTATTGAAGATGCTGATATGCCTTGAGTATCTAACCTCCTTTTCAACACTGGAAAACTTTCTCACTATTGATTCAATCTCATTTTCCGAAGTGCTTGCCGTTGATTTGGAGGACTGTTAATGTTGTCAGTTTAATTAGGTATGTCCACTAAATGCAAGTTTGGAGGGTGAATTTGCATTTTCAAAAATGAGTAAACCATATACTATGTATTCCTTAGAGTGATGACCATAAGAATTATAGTACAGAGAGAGAGAGGGACAAAATGCACACTCAAAGTACTTTGATGAATTTTGTGGGCTGCACACACACACATACATAGACACAGCACTTTGACTAATGTTGCAGGCATCATGTTGCATCTGCGGTTCACCTTCGCAAATCTCTACTTGTAAATATATCAAAATTGTATATGGCAATCTATTAAACAGACATTCTTCATTTTCAATTGTTTGTGATCATCATTTCAGGTATGGAATACAAATGAACATGAGGATCTGCAAGTGCTTGCAATAATATCTCGCCCTCCCATCAAAGTGTATGTAATTTTTCTTCAATCCTCTAGCATCAACATTTTTGCCACTAGTTAATGGATCTCTTATATTTCTGTTGTCATTAGAGAACCAAGGTTAGTAGTTTGGCTTCATCCCTTCAAATGTTTGTCGATTGAAACATTTGCATGGATTCTTTCACTGGTTAGAGCATGGTAGTTCCTAATGGCATCTTCCAGACCTTTCAGCCAAATGGCCTGAGAGAACCAGTTATAGGAGGGCTTTTTCCCCTTTTTGGCTTTATCTTTTGTAATCTAAGCACCTATAACAGAGTACATCAGGAAGGAAATTTACTTGGTACTTTGAAGCTTAACTAGCATTCAGTTTTTTAAGAAAAAGAAAGCAAAGGCAGGAGGTGTTGGAAGCTTAAAGGGAAAGCCATCCATCGTCGTTTTAAAAGCATGTAATGCTACTGTCTCTTCCTCAAAATCATTTGTGGATAGGTATATAAAAGCACAATCTACATATCTTTCCCTAAACATGATCTATTTCCATTATTTCTAATTGGTTAAGATTGCATGACAATTTTAGCGCATATTCTTTTAGTTATCTTACAACTATTGAATCAGGATTGCAACCGCACAATGCATCTTGCATCATTGAAGATGCGGCTTAAGAGGCTATGTGGTGAATAGAATTTACAGAGCAACCCTTAAAAATAGTTATTTATATAACTTGGAAACTGTATTTTGAAAATTTCCTTGTATGTACTGGGTATCCGCACCTTGTTTTCCTAGTTCTATGCTGTTCTTTTCCCTTCATCTCTTTTATAAATGCTGATGATACTTTCTTTTTGTCCGAATTTGCATTTAGGTTTATATATGAGGACTGGTTCATGCCTCACACTGCAGCTAAGTTGAAGTTCCCGTACTCTTGGGATGAACAGTGCTTTCAAGAACCTCAGAAAGATGAGCTTTAATTCTTGACCACCCCTTTCCATAGTACTTAGTACATTGTCATGGGCTCTTTTGTGCACTCAAAAACTGTTTGATGTCATTTTCTCAAAGAAGAATTTGGGACTAGGGAAATAGCTGATTTAAATTTGCAAACAATGAGTGATGAAGAAGGCTTGAGGGCCTTGTAATTAAGTTTTCATGACATTGGCATATACTCTGCATGATAGTAAATGAAAAATTTTCAACACGGATTTTGATGTTTATCCAATGCAAATGTTCAACAGAGGCATATGTCCGGAATCATGGATCATTCAACTAACAAGAGCATAAACGCTAATCCCACTTTTCTTGTAGAAAATCTCCTTTTGATCAGAAGAAAATACCAATTTAATAAATGCTTGCCCTAATTTCCAAGCAGGACGGTTTTTCTTCCTTCATTAATGGGTATAGTTGATACTTAATAAAGAATTAGCTAAGCATGTTGTCGCCCACACTTACAAAAAATAAATGAAGCCCTACCTACAATTTTTCCCCTTCTCTTTTCTTGTGATACCTGTAACACACAAATCCCAGAACAGGTAAGTTGCTGAACTAGCAAATTTTCTCATTTTAGGGAAATGGAGAAAGAAAAGAGTTGTTTCAGCCCCATGATTTGATTGCCTTCTATCGCCTCGTAGATAATGCCCTCTTGTTCGAACATTAGCTCATCATATTCTCTGACCTCAGGAAACCAATGTCTAAAGTTCCTGCTCGTTTCCAGTTCTTTACAGCTAGCCAGCCTGCTAATGCTGTACCATTTTCAGCACCACGCTAATTTACCTAATCTGGTCCCCCTAGCTAGCTAGCTAGCTCTATGGTGTCAGAAAAAGAAAAATTACTCATGTATTGAATACCGTAAGTCAAAATATTATTGTCCTATATTAACTTTTACTAAAATTCACATACTGGAAGAAAAGATTTCTATTTTGTATTAATTGCTGTAGTATATATACTAAGCCATTTTCCCCATCGGCACCACCCTTATTTGATCTGAGCTTATATTTTTCGATAACATGGCAGACAAGTAGGCTTTCATTATTTGGGAAGATATGTTTTACTTTGACTAAACTGACTTAAAAAGCAGCACAAAAATGCAAACAACTTCAAAATGTGCACTAAAATGTCCTGTTTTTCTTGTCCTTTAGGGAAAGGAAATAGAATGTAAGAACCCAAAGTGGAAGGTACACAGAAACATAAACAGAAATGGAAAATAGGTTTTTGGTTTCATTTTATTACACTGGACCAAGTTTTTGTTTTGCATTTTCAGTTCTTCCTTCCTATATTGTCCTTCCGAGGTTTCTTCTCTTCCTCACAATTCTCTACCAACCTCTCTCCTTCCCATCTCTTAATAAAATGAAAACAGCAATTTTCAATCATTAGTTCCTTCTAACCTCCCCTAAACCTTCTCTTAACCAGCCTTTGTCAAAATGGCTGCCCTCTCTCCTCTTCTACCCTAATCCCATCCCCACCGTACCCTTTTGAAAACCTCCTATTGAAGGCAGGATGGCCTCTCTTCCCCTCCTCGGCCTCCTGTCTCTCATTCTCACCACCAACGCCGCCACCGCCACCACCAACTCTGCCACTGGAATCCGCCATGGCATTATCCGAAAACCTTCTTCGGATGTCCCCGTATTCAAAGAGGCCCCAGCCTTCCGCAATGGGGATATTTGCGGGTCTAATGCCTCGGACAGAATCCACATTGCCATGACACTGGACGCAAACTACCTCAGGGGCACCATGGCTGCTGTTCTTTCCATCCTGCAGCATTCAACGTGCCCGGAAAACGTGGAGTTTCATTTCCTGTGGGGAAAGTACGAGCCTGAAGTGCTTGTGAGTATCAACTCAACCTTCCCTTACCTCAACTTCAGGGTTTACCGCTTTGACCCCAACCGTGTTCGTGACAAGATATCAAAATCTATTCGCCAAGCGCTGGACCAACCTTTGAACTATGCCAGGATTTACCTAGCTGATATCCTGCCAGCAGATGTTAAGCGTGTTTTGTACTTGGATTCCGACCTTGTTGTGGTAGACGACATTTTGAAACTCTGGGAAGTTGATTTAGAAGGAAAAGTGTTGGCCGCACCAGAATATTGTCATGCAAATTTTACAAAGTATTTCACGGACTTGTTCTGGTCAGACAAGGGTTTGGCTAGTACTTTTGATGGAAGACATCCATGTTATTTCAACACTGGGGTTATGGTGGTGGATGTTGATAAGTGGAGGCAGGGAGGGTATACGCAGAAAGTAGAGGAGTGGATGGCTGTGCAAAAGCAGAAGAGGATATACACCTTGGGTTCATTGCCACCTTTTTTGTTGGTGTTAGCTGGGAATATAAAAGCTGTTAATCACAGGTGGAACCAGCATGGATTAGGGGGTGATAACCTTGAGGGTAGGTGTAGGAGTTTGCATCCTGGGCCTATTAGTTTGCTGCATTGGAGTGGGAAAGGGAAGCCTTGGTTGAGGCTGGACTCAAGGAAGCCTTGCGTTGTTGATCATCTTTGGGCACCATATGATCTTTATAATTCATCAATTCAGTCTCTGGAAGAATAAGGATGGGGAGGGGAGAGGAGGGACGCTGGGAGAAACTGGTAGAGGGGACTTTGCATTTTTAGAGGAGTTAGAAGTGGGACAAGAGGTAAGATATCAAAAAAAAAAAAAAGGTTGGCAATTAATTTCTTTTAATATTTTGTTTGGTTCTTAATTAGAATATATGAATATTGGAAGGAGGGGGAGAAGAATATTAATACTTGCATCCCGAAAAATAATTGCTGACACATGCCCTTATCTTTTCATTCTGCCAAATATTCCGAGAACCATGACTTTGAAGTCTCAAAAGAAATAAGAAAGGAAATTTTACGGAATTAATTTGTTTTGATGTGAAGTTGTACAAGAAAAAACCATTGTAGAAAGTTTTTTGTTCTGACAAAGAGAGGGAAATAGAGGGGTTTGTGCATGAACCTGTTGCGCTAATTAACTACAATTATATGGTTCCTAGAAGCATACTTCAAATTAAAAGGATTATTGTGTTACAGAGGAAGGATGAAGTATACGATGATTTTAGATTTAGATTGGAAGAACCTCTATCAGAGTAACTTCCATGTATCTCTGAAAAGCTTTGCAGTGTAATATTTACCTCCAAACACCGTGTAGTGGGCTATTCCGTTCATAAGTTGCCCAAACAATGTGTTGTTCTATATATTTCATTTTGTTTTTACTTTTAGGTATTTTGTATGTTTGCTTGTGCTGCTGTGCACCCCTGCCCCTTCATTTAGCAGCTCATTAGTTATATCCCTTAAAATCTATTCACAAACTAACTCATTTATCTAGAATATTGATCGTCATGGCTTTTGGAATATGATGGTTATCAGTAAAATCTGGCATTTCAATCTCTAGCAAATTGCCAGATAGCTGAAAATAGATGCATTGCGTATGCATACTAAGTTGATACTGAACTCTTATTCTAAGCATCTGATCATGACGATACAAATATCAAAATTAAGCCATTTCACATTTGAGCACGCTGGGTGCATGCCTCATCAATTTTTGTTTGGGAACAAAGAGAGTGTATTTAAACAATAACCCAGAGGCTCTGCCTATATTACATTATGAACTAAGATTCTTCGGGCTCCATCCAGCTGACGTTTCTGCTCATTCTTGCCCTTGTATTCTGGATAAATGTTTCAGAAATTTCATTAATATTCAAGCCCAAACCTGTAAGTATTGGTTTTGAGACATCAGGTTGTTTTGCTGTTGGCAATTTTGGACTAGGAAATTTATTGCCTGCCTTCTTTTTCTTCTCTTCCTGACCGGCACTATCAGTTATAGAAATAATGATATTTGGGTCTGTTGAACCTTCATCTCGAATACGTACTTCATTTTCCCCATGGACTTGGGGTTTAGTAGTGCCAACTAAAGTACCATTTAGCAGTGGGATCTCCTTCTTCCCCGACGAGCCAGTGAATTCGTTCCCCTTCTCCATTGCTTTGTCATCTTTCGCTGCCACATGGTCGGACGAACCAAGCTTGTCAACAGGAGTCCAAGAGTCCAGCTCTTCTGTTAGCCTGAAGTGAATCTGAATTGCAGAATCCGGATCATCCTTGAGCTTCGAGTTTACGCTTTCCTCTCCATTTTGTTTGTCATGGCTGATGAGTGGTTCGTGCACCCCATTCCTTGCATATTCATCTTGTGGCCCTTGATTGCTTGAGCCTTGGGGAAGAGGATGGCCCAGGGTTACGCGTCTAGGGCCTCTACCAATGAGGCTATTCATGATGAAGTTGAAGAGCCTGTGGCAAAAACCAAGACGCTGAAAATCGTTTTCCCTTCGGATCTGCATGACGTGAATGAAAGACTCAGCCACAGAGAAACAAGTAATGCAGCTGGATGGTGAAAATGGGAAGTATGAGAGCTGTTATTTGAACACGTGTCTTACCTTGCTTGGATGATTCTATACTTGGGATTTGGGGTATCAAAAAGAAAGAATGTGATTTCCGTGGAAGGCTGGAAGCATTCTTCTCTCTTCTAGTCCCAAAATATGTCTTATTTCTTCACCTGCTTTAGTGAAAAGCAAATACAGCTTGCAAGAACAAGCCAATTTACTGGATTCCTGGAAGTGGAATTCTACTTTGCTTGAAGTTAATATATTCCTAAACAGCAACACGAATCACCGAGCGAACCCGCAAATCAGTTAGCCTGGTGATTGGTGGATGTAGCAGAAATGAATTAAGATACCATGTTAAGTGAAGCTTTTAAGCAGATGCTTTTATCGCAAGAGGGCCATAAAATATTCCTTATACACTCCAGGTAAACACCACTATGGAATAAAGCTGATTGAAACTTTGATTTTTGGTGCATATTAAGAATCTTTCCCCTGGCCCTTCAAGCTGTGTGAAAACCAGGAAAAACTCAAGAACAAAGAAAGGGAAAGTTGTGAAATGAATATTTCATCACTTTCTTTAAAAAAAAGTTCAGGTTCAGATATTTATACTGAAAGTTACTTAGGTGGGAAATGAAAACTGCTGTTAATTTCTAATTAACTATCCAACTCAGCTAACAAACTATTAACTACAGGAAAAAGTAACTCTCAATACAAACTTGTTAAAGTACTTCATTCCGCGGTTACTTAGATTAAACCGTGCATCCAAACTCTTCAAGTTATACTGTGTGTTTTCACCTTTGGTGCAAGTCCCATGTCAAACCCGATCTTCTTCTTCGTCAGCGCTTCCTTAATCAGCTCATTTGTTACTTAACCCAAGACTCCCCCTCAAGGTGAATTGTGAATGTTATGAACATTCAGCTTGCCTAACATTTGATGGAATCGTTTAGGTTGCAGTGCTTTAGTAAACAAGTCTGCCAATTGTAACTCAATTGGAATAAGCACGGGTTCAATAACTCTTACTAAAACCTTTTCAAGTACAAAGTGACAATCCATTTCAATGTGTTTGGTGTCAAGGATTATATTAGATGTGGAACAAGAATAGAATCGGAAGAAACAAAATGATAAACCAGTTGGTGTCTATTTCACATAAAAGAGAATCTCAACTTTTACTACTAAATCCATGTGAAGAGAAAATCAGTATTGAAAAATTTGCAATATTGTTATGGCTTTCTGTGTTCGTAAGAACAAAATGAATCAGAACTTTGATCTCCTTACTCATTCCTATGCCAGAAGATTTAAACCTCTTGCTGCTTTTGAAGGGCTTTTTTTCTTTCTTTTGATCTCTGTCTCTGTTAGCGTAACATAAAAAACTATAGAAAGTCCATCCTGGAGACTTAATTCCACCAGGCTTCACGATAACTACGAAAAGCAAGTCAAGTTGTGTTGAGGTCTTGGACCTGATCTGGGCTTCAGGGGGTGGGGGGTTGGGCTGGACTGAACCTGCAAGAAACCGAGAGCAGCATCAGACGTTTGGGTTGATGTCACTCTCTCTCGGTTCGATCATCAAGTAGAAAGCCGAAAAGGGTGAAAGAGAGAGAGAAAATGAGAGAATATGGGTGTACCCGGCTTCACGTGATTCCCTTCCTTACACGTTAAGGATATTCTGAAAGGTGACGTTGGTTGTAGGTGCCACGTGGATTCACCATCTTATGGCTGGGCTCTTTGGAGCTATGGTTATTTGGGCTATGGGCTTAGGCATAACAAAGTTCATTCAAATGAAACTTTGCTTTGCCCAATTGTCTTGGGTAACACCATTTGCTACAGAGATAAATCCAGGATGCAAAGAGACCAGAAAATGCAGTGAATTATCTGCATTAGTTTATTGATAGTTGATGCAAACTAAAATTACACCGCAATGCTAATTATAAAACAAACTATTGTAGGAATATAAATTTTAGAATTCTCTTTGCTTATCAATAGCAATTATCAAAACATATTAGGTTACGAATTTAAAATTATTTAAAATGTTACACCTAAAATCAGAGCAATTCATTATTATTTTCTTTTAGGATAGATACTAGTAGCTTCAAATAAAAATGTCAATAAATACCTTGTAATCAACTACTTTACATTACTCTCAACTCGATTAAGTAAGATTAAATAATTCTTAATCAAGTTTGGATACTATTGATAGTAGAATTATTATCAATCATGAATTTTGGTAATGATCTTAAGTTACTTATTATCAGAAGTTAATTACAAAAAATAAATTTTAATTATATATTTTTATTACTTACTAAAATTTATTAATTGTTATAAACATAATTTTAAACTTTAATTTATTTTTTCTGTAAATTAACTTTAATTTATTAATTGAATGTTTATTAATAATATATATAAATTAATTTTTAATTTTTTTAATTAAATATTTAGCAATTAGTATTTAAGATCATCGAGTGGGAGTGTAAATAACAATTCAAAAATTTAATCATATAATTATAATATTTTAATATCCAATCAGATAATAGAGTTAAAATTAAAATATCTAAATAATAAAGAATACTCCGTTGGATACGCCAGAACTCAAAGAGCAAAGAGTCTAAACTGAACCGGTCTGGTTCACCGTCATAACCAACCAGAAATTGCCCGTCTACCCCCTTTTGATGCGCACTTCACACAGGCCTTTGATGGCAGAGAACAAACCAAAGCTTTGGCCTTGTTTTCCCTAATTTATCCATAATTTTCATTTCCCTTTCATTTCACATCCTCTTGAAAATTTCCCCCAAATCTCTATCAAGGCTCAACCCCACGAAAAAAACCCCTAATTTTCTTCATGGATTTCTTCAAATCAGTTTTCGAGGAGGATCCAGGTCCTCCTCAACGCCAATCCGGATCCGATTCCCCCAAAGCCGAAGACTGTACCGTCGATTCCCCTCCTAAACAGCCTGATCCCAATCATACTCCTAACCTAACCGGATGGAGCTTCGGCGGTCTGATCAAAACGATCACGACCAGATCCGAATCCGTAATCGAAACCTACCGTCGTGATCTCAAGGAATTCGGTTCGGGTCTAAAAAAAGAAATCGAGGTAGCGCAGGGCTCGCTAGAGAACGTAGGGCACGTGATTGACGAGTTCGGGAACTCCGTCTTAAAAGGAACGGCTCAGATCATCAATCAAGGCAAGGATGCAATCCTAGCCGCCGATAACGAATCCGATTCCTCTTCCTCCGAAAGCAATAGTAAAACTTTTACTGCTCAACGGAGTTTGAACTCGAAACGATACAGTCGATTTGATGCTCAAGTGAGGGCAATTCAGGGAGAAAGTAATACTTTCAGTGAAGCGCCAGAGGATTTGGAGGATTATAAGAAGTGGAAATCAGGGTTTGTTTTGGGAGATAAGAAGGAAGAGATTGAGAGATTGATGGAAGAGAATGGGGAACTGAGGAGTATTTATAAAAGGGTTGTTGGTGTTTCCAATGAGGTTGATCATGAGACATTTTGGTGTAGGTACTTTTTCAAAGTTTTTAAGCTGAAGCAAGCTGAGGATATGAGGGTTAAGCTTGTTAAGAGAGCGATTTCAAGGGAAGAAGAGGAGGAGTTGAGTTGGGATGTCGATGATGATGAAGATGATGAGGAGGAAGAGGTAAATGAGAGAAATGTGGGGTCGAACGCCTCTGTAAAGAAAGATGATGTGGGAAGGAAAGAAAAAGATGAAATTGTGGAAGAGAAGGCGGTGAATGTGGAATCTAAAGGTGAATTTTCGGAGAATAAGGAGCAAGTTGAGAAGGAAAAGGAAAAGAATCCTGTTGAGGAATTGCGAGTGGAGAGTTATGATTCAGATAAAGAGGGGAAGGGGAGTGCTGAGCAGTCAAGTGTAGGCGGTGTGGTGACTGAGAAAGTCAATTTGGAGAAGGATGAAGGGGTATGCAAGGAAGATTCAGTGTCGAAATCTGTTGAGAAAGTAGCTTCTGAAGGGAAAGGTGATAATGCGGAGTCTAGTAACGGCAATGGTAAAGACAGTGACTTTTCCGTGGTGTCAAGTCATCCATCAATGCCTGAGGAGGAGGATCTTGGGTGGGATGAAATCGAGGATCTCAGCAGCATTGATGATAAGAAAGAGACTCATTGTGGGAGCCCTAGCTCCAGAGCTGATCTGAGAAAGCGACTAAGTACTGCAGAAGAAGATGAGGATTTGAGCTGGGATATTGAAGATGATGATGAACCGGCTAAAGCTTGATGAAAAATGTAAAGTTTCTTCTGAAAATGTTAAAGTTTATTACTCAATAGAATTTATTGCGTTCTAAGTATTCCTTGTATTTGTCCCTTGTTAAGTGTTATATAGTGGGGAGGATTCATTTTCCTTTGTTTTTTGAAATGCTAATATCTTCTATGATTGTGTACTTTTAACACTTCATTGAAATGAAATGGAAGTTGCTATGTTGATAGTAAATTGATTTTCACTTATTTCCAGAGCTGTTTAGAGGTTGAAATGAAAGACACTGATTTTATGCACTTGCTAACCTGGATGTTGATTGAGAAGATTAACAGATTATGTTGGACATTAAGCTTTCAAATTTGTTCACTGCGTCCGCTAAGGCATTCTGGAAGCACTTAGCCTTCGCTTCCCTCTCTTCTCTTTGATGTTTGCATTGGTTAGTGCTAATGGAAGTTTAGACACCATGTTTTGCTGTTACCTTCCTGTTCAAGGGATTCTTTTAGGACAACAATTGCATTAACCCTGCAAATAGAGGTTAGGAAAATTGCCAAAAAACAACAAATGAGATGCAAAATAGTGCACTGGAACTCTAAAACAGATGGTAGGAAAATTCAGTTAAAACTCTCTCTTGGGAATTGCTTTTCCAAGGACTTTCTGCATGTTTTGCATTTTTGGACAGCAAATGAGTTAATGATCTCTGCTGACCTATGCCTGTAGTAATGGATGGATACCATAAGTGCTTACTGACCTAGATATCTCACTGCTCTTGTACATCACGTGAAAATGACTAAACCAGTACCATTAAGTTGTTTATAGTAAATAATATCAGTATTTCAATCAGCACAGCTTCTATGGGTTAAGCATAGCAGAAATAAAATGTGCATCTGTAAAATTTCAAAAGCTGGGGAGCAGAATCTATAAGATGATGCCAGGATCTACCGCAGATCTCTCTGAGGGTTGAACATATTAGCTTTCTTGTAGCTGTTGCTAAAAAGTTCTGTTAAGTGTAAAAAGAATTTGGCTGACATTGCTGTTAATTAACAAATAGCTTGTGATTAGTAGGTCATGATAGTTTAAGAAGTATAATCATCATGTATCATTATTGAAGAACTAAAAAGAAGGGAAGAATGACCTGCTTATTCCTTCTAATCTCAAGTTGAACATCGAAGCATGGAGTACATCCAGATAGGACCATATGATGTTTTCCTCAAGTAAGGGATTTTGATGATGAGATGACCTAAGTTTTGTCAACTTCAGCAAGATTCTGACCAATTACATGCTTCTCAATTTTCTTGGTTTCTGGGTTTTTCTCTTGCTTGGCGTGTGAAATGAAGAAAGCACAAAATAAAATGAGGTAGGAAAAGAAAACTTCCACACTTGCAGATGCTACCTTAGATAGACGAAGATTCTTCAAATCTAAGAAAGGGAATGTTCAAACGGACTACGAGGTAAGAAAGAACAGATAGATCAGTTCCTCAGATAAATAACATCATTTTGCCCATTGTGAAATGTTAAGAATGGATTATGATCAACTTTTTAAGGAATAGCAATAAGATTCAATTTAACATTCATGTGCATTCACCTATCCTGGTCAAGTAAGAAAGCCGTGGAAAAGATTCAAAATAGATAACCACAAACTAATACTACCATCTGTCTGTAAAAGGAGATTAATATAAATAATGTAATAGCTTAATACAAAATTCGGCCCTCCAGTAGTGCTAATTCACACTCCAACTTAAAAGCTCAACTACCTTTAAAGCCCTACCATGACATTCAACAAGTGTGGTGACAATTGCTGGAGCCTAACCTTGTTGAGGAAAAGAAAAAAAAAAAGAAATAGAAAAGAGTGAAAATGGAGGGAAAAAACAAACAAACTCTTCAGCACTTGAGCTGCATTTGTACAGTAAGTAAATGCTCTTTCAGAGCAAGATGTGTGCCTGAACAATGCCTTTGACAATTCATATCACTTGCCCCCAGGGCTGCCACATGCTTAGCTTATGCCGATTTCCCTTCAGTATTGATGCCTGGTTCAGAAGTAGACTCTGCTACATGTGGTTCAACAGGAGAAGGTAATGCAAGCATTCTTCCTTTTTGGGCACGGGGTGGAAGGTGCTTAGTAGGCTTTCTTGATCCTCCCATAGTCCAGGGCAAGAAGACCCCTGTACCGCCACGAGGAAGTTTTCTGGGGCTCACTACCATTGGGCGCACAGGAGCTAGCATGACAACAGGTCCACGGACGACTCCCCATTTTGGCATCATATCCAGTGCCTCATAGCCATTAAGAGCTCCATTTGACATTGCATATGGACCTGGGACACCTGGTTGCCACAGAGCCATGGCACCAGCCTGGGGGCTGGCTGGTGGTGACTGACCTTGGTTGGAATCAGGCCGAACTCGGAAAAACGTAATGCTGACCCTATTTCTCGGAGATGGGCACATGACATGTCTTGCCATGTCAGCACTGTTTCCCCTCATAACTAAAAGAGACCTGCAGAATAGCAGTAACATATTACAAACTTGCTTGTCAAGTAAGAATTAGTATCATAAAGCACACATGGTACATTTTATGAAGGGAGACGGCCCAACATGAAGGATAACATTGAGAGATGTGATTCCTCTGTGTTTGAAACAAGATTCCTGCTCAGTTTACTGCATTGACGTGATAAATTCTGACACAATGTAAAAGGAGGAAGAGAGAAAAAAATATAAAGGAGAGAAGTGGAGAAAATAGTGCCATGAGCTAAGAAGATTTTTAGCTTTCAGCTTCCTACTCTAACACATGATTATCTAGGATTTTGTTGCAATCAAAACATCTTGGCAGTGTCAGAGAGTAACATATAAATTGGAAGCTGCCCCCCGTGTTAGTTTTCAAGGTATGATGCTAGCCAACAATATAATCAGAAAGGAAAGCCGCTCTTATGCAAACTCTTAAGATTATAAACAAACTAAAATTATAGATGTCACCCCATCACCAAAAGCTTGCCTCTCGTTCTATTAATAGATGCATTGAACTATGATGGAAAACTTGCAAATATTTCCGATTCTGATACTAAGCTGCTTCATCAGTTCTTTTTTCATAGTTTACTATGGTTCCCTTTTCAGCTAACTTCCAAAAGTACAAACCAAATTCAAAAAACTCTAAACAGTGAACATACCCTTCTTTCAATGAAAGCTGTAGTGGACCCCTATAGTTGCCTTCACTATCACTCACAAGAGTGCGCCCAAAAGCCATTGTTGATTCAGAGAGAAAAAGAGTGGAGATAGGTTGGTCCAAATGTGGTGGTTTAAGAAAAGGCTGTGAATATTCACCCTGCATAAAGTAATATAATTGCATCACTTCTATCCTTACTCTCTTCAAATATGGTTCAACACTAAAAGCAAGATGGTACATGGACATGGTGGCCTATCTACTCTTAACAAAGAACAGGGAAGATGGGCATGGCAGTGCAGCAAAGAAGTATACCTCATCAAAGAAGTTAATGATGCAACCATTTGGTTTCTTATATTCGGGTATAAGTTGCCACTGGACAAGGTGTTCTATGACATCTTGCAGAAGAGCCGGAATTGGTTCTATATTGACTGCAAAACATATAAAGAAAGAAAAAAAAAGAAGGGCCAATTAGAAAGTTGTTTAGTAACTGTAGTCATAATTGATCACTCTTAAGTATCAAGAACAAATTAAGAAACTAGAGAAACCAAACCACATCAGAAATTCATAGGGGTAGGTCGTACTTGTTTGTTTGTTACTTGTGGGCTCCTCTATAATGTGTCCAAAAATTGGAACACCAAGCTGAATCAGCTCTCGCTTGTTTCCTTTAATTTGTTTGTTGAATAAAATAAAAGTCTCACCTGTAGTCATCCAGCAACAAGCTCAGAAACAGAGACTTTGGCCAACAAATTGCAGTCCTAATCTTTTTCAACAATGAAGACAATATTTTCTAAAACGAAGACAATGTTTACTAAAAACTCTTGAATATCACTCAAAAGACAAGCAATTGCAGATTAATGAAACAAACAGCCACGTTACAAATCCTTTTCAACGAAATGGAAAACTGTTAATCAGAAGAGAGAGAGAAAAAAGTTCACATAAAACATTAAATGAGAAAAAGAAAAAGCTATTAAACATTTGTCTCTGCCAATTAAGAGCTTTGTGAAATCTACATTTACAACACATAAGGCGACCCCAAGGGTTGAGGTATGTGCTTCACAGGAACCTCCTCCATCAAAAGTCTAAACCCCTAATTATCGACCTACAGCCAACTAATTTGCCTCTCTAGGTGCTTGACTTAAAGTTCTCTCAGAAGTTGGTCTATTGATCTTAGAAGTGATTAACATCAAACACCCTATATAACTTGTGAATATTATTTAAATTGATCAAGCAGGAAACATGAATGACTATACCTGTTAAAACAAAGCTATAACAGAAGAGATAACTATTTCAAATCTTCATCTTAATATTCTAAAACAGGCCTCAATTCGGCAAGGCTTTAAAGTGGGATGGCACCTGACAATTCCCCATTCTGGCCAGCAGCTCGAAGTTCACTCACGAAGTCACCCAGCTTAGCCAGCTCTGAATCAGTGAACACATCCTCATACAATTTCAATCCTTTCACAACATTCACCTGCATCATAGTTATCAGTAATAAGTTTTAAAAAAAACTACCAGAATCCATCTTTTCTTCATTTTTCTTTTCTGAAATAGCATACAGTATAGGATATCAGTTCTCTCTAATTCCAAATTTTTCACTAGAACAATGCCTATTAAATTGTGAAAGACACAACTCACCATGTGACCTTTTACATGCTCCTTGGCTGAAAAACCTTTGGTCAACTTGATCTGAGAAGGGCGTGCATCACATTCTTCATGGTTAGAACAAATGTCAACGTTTTCCTCAACATGCTGAACTTCCTGAGATCCTGCATCGCCAGAACAAGTGAAATCATTAACCAAGATGTAAATATAACTGTAGAATAAAAGGAATGATACGGACATACAACGTGAATTAATTTTCGGCATTTGTCACATTATAGACTAAATAAAATAGGACACAAAAGGGCAAATTTTCAGACAAAGTAGCCTTGGATAGTAAAAGATGACCACATTTTCGCCCCACCTCAATTTGTTGTTTGACTAGTAAAATAAGCCACCATTCTATAAAAATTCAATGTGTAAATTCTTAATCTATTGATAGTGCACTTAATTATACAACAAATTTGGCAGTCAATCATATTACCTTAATTGATAAAAAGCATTATATTTGTAAGGCAAGTAAAGTTGATTAATTGACAAGCAAAACTAGCTCCTGGTCTGTTATTTTAAGGGTGGAACTGAGCTTTTATCTTCATCTATTCTATGGACCTTAATGTAGGTTATTTAATTATCATATTCATTATGTTACCTTATTAAACATACACATTCCTTATTCAAAACATTATTTAGGAAGCTCAGCCCTCAGCCAGCGCCTTACCCGTCATCGCTGGAAAAGGCTGTGCAACTTTTACACACAGCTGTCAGCTGTATCACGACTTCTCACTTTTGTCCCTATACTTTATTAGCTACCGTGTAAGACAGAAGCTGCACGTTGTCCCAATGTCGGATAGCACAACTGGCTATCCAAACACTCCCCCAGTTTTCCTGTCGTGAAATTCAATCATTGGATCGCTCGCACGCCCGCCCAAGGACAACGGAGTTGAACGGGCAAAGCAATCCAGTCAAACGAGTCGACGCAGCTCGAGTCAAAACATTTCGGGGATAGGAAATTGGGCTTAGTAGCCATCTGCCTAATGGCTTCCTCCAACCAAAATGTCAAAAAGGCCAAAGCCATAACAACCCCCAGCAACAACAAGCTCCACGTGAAATCAACAAACAGCAGCACTGACGTCAACATTAAAATCTGACGGCTGTGATCAGAAGCCGCCTACCATTAAAATCATTGCACGCATCCCGAGGCGGCGTCCCCCGGATCAACGTATTGAGATGGCTCACTCCCCAAACTAACTGTAACACTGAGTGCAGTCAAACCCTTTCTCTCTCTCTCTCTCTCTCTCTCTCTCTCTCTAAGCTTTCACCTCGAAATCCTCAAACCCCCACTACAACCTCGGGAACATACCAACCTCATTACTCCACCTCTGAAAACAAAACAAAAAAGAAAAGAAAAGGAGAAATAAAAGAACACTTTTCCAGAGTAAGAAAATGATCTCGTGAAAAGTTTTATGTTTTTTTTTCTCTCAAAGCAAACAGCGTAAGAACATAAAGCCCATGAAAGACTGGTAAAACCAACATCATCATAATCTAACCCCACGTTGAATGAATTCAAAGTCAGAGAAATTTAAGAAAAGGCATTGGAAACATTGAATATTCGATCCCGTGGATAAATATATGATTTTGTTTGGTTCCTCCGAAAATGGAGGAAAATGATTAAATCTTTCAACTCTTTTTTAAGATACATATAAGAAAAGGCATAACATAATGCGCTTGCTTTATTCCAAGCTAAGCTTTCACTTTCTGGCTTTACCAAACACAGTGCAATCTGAGATTCAACGCCTTATGCCTTACGCCTCTCTGCTTTCCGCGCAGCCAGAGAAGAAAGAAACAAAGAGAAAAAAAAGGCGATCTTTCTCCTTGTCCTTTGGTTTTTTATTGATTGATCGAGAAACAAAGGAAGTTCGAAGAATTCAATAACGGAACGGAAAAAGATTGAAAACAACTGATCGCCATGGCATTTATGAAAGAAAACTGAGCCAAGCTCAGAGCTTTTTTTTAGTACTGGGACTGTAATAAGAATCCCAGTACCTCGGACCGATCTTGCGTCACGAATCCCAAAAAGAAACACCAAAATAAGTCCCCCAAGGAACAAAAATAGAAAAAGGAAAGCTTTACCTAACGATCAAACTTGGCATTTGAGAGGAAAGAAAAAATCAAACAGAGAAACAACACGTAACCAATATGCAAGTAAAATAGAATCAAACTTTATGATCGGAATCACTTTTCTTTTCTTTTAATTATGAAGTTACCTGAATCAGTGATATCACTGTCAGGGGAATCTTCTTCTTCCTCGCCACCATCTTCCCCATTTCCTTCATTTTCCATCACTTTCTCGGCAACTTTCTCTTTATCATCATCCAAACAACCGCCTTCGCCTCCGCCGCTACCTTTCACTTCCTCCTTGTGATCTCCATCTTGTCCTCCTTCTTCGGTCTTCTTGGCAGCCACCTTTTTTAGCTCCACTGCCACATCAGCAACGGAGTGGTATTTCTGCATCTGCAACACCGGGATCCAGTTCAGCCTCCTCCTGTGGATCGCCGCGAATACTGCTTCGTACTCCGATCCCCCGCTCGCTCTGCCATGAAGCTGCGCCAAGTGGGCGCATAGAGCGTCGATGATGGCATTGGCCGCCGCGAATTCCCCTCGGAACCAAGAAATGATCGAGTCCTTAGCAAAAACATCAGCAACCGCCGGCACAGCTTGCATCATCGGTACCACGGCAGGCCCCACCGCATGAGCCCGTTCCCTCGGAGATGCTGGCCCCGCCGCCATTGGCATCTCACTTTCTACTAAATTCTACCCTTTCCTTTTAACTTTTTACTATTGACCAAATATGAGGAACCCGGAACTTTTTATTTTTCGGATGCTCCGAACTCCGAACTATTGGGTCTGGAGAGTTACCTTTCGGCCGATATTTCAGCTGTTTTGTTGAGAGAGAGAGAGAGAGGGGGAAGGCTTAAAGCAAAGTGTTGGGATGGCTTTTGTTTTGTTTTCGTGTTTTTCTGGTGTTTCAGCAGGGAAGGGGTTTTTGGGCGATGGGAGGGGTTATATATTTGGAGTGGCACGTCCGTACGGGTGGGGACCACTGGAAGAGGGTGACATGGCTATCTCCGAGAGAGGTGACGTGGCGTAACCAAATGTAGGTTGGGTGGCTTACCAAGGAACTGCAAAACTTTAGTCCAAAAATTGAATTCGAGACCAGACCACGATCTACCCTGAAATTACCCTTTGGGGTTCGCTAGGTTCTACTTTTAGCCAATAAGGCAAATTTTAGTTGGAATACAAGAGTTTCTCACTCAAAAATTAATTTTGGTTAATTAGGTTAAAACTAAATTTTTAAAAAAATCATCAATTTTATTCAATTATTATTAAATTTGAAAAATAATTTAAATAAAATATTAAACTTTTTAAATTTACTATAACTCTTACGAGTATTATACAATGACAGAGTTAGAATTTAACATGTTAGAGTGAATAAAAAGTGAATTGATAATTGACTCTTGTAACCGTGGGACTTGAAGAATAATTCTGTTTTAAGAGGTTTTACTTTAATCCATAAGCCTACTAAAATTAATTGAAAGTTATCTCTCTAATGGTATAACTCTCATTATTAATATAAAAATATTTTTCATAAATAATATCACAACAAGTATTCTTAATATTTGTTAGCAAAACTTAACTCAGACATACATACGTGTATATATGCATATAATCTACTTAACAAAATACTCAAAAATTTTGATTTATAATTGTAATATAAATCATTTTCGATAATAATTTCATCAATGTTGTATTGAGAATTTTGATTCAATTCTTTAGTAGATATATCAAATTCTGTATTTCCTAATTCCCATACCCACCCACCTTCAAACAAAACAAAGAAAGCACCTAGCACATGCATATGGGACATTTCGCGTTTGGCTGGTCAAGACTCGAGGAGGTAAAAAAGATGTGGAAACTTCAATTTCTTTCATTTGGAAATTCCTTGTATGGAGGTTGAGTTGAGTTTCATTTCAATGAAATGAGATATCCCTTGCTTATGGTTTAAGAGACTTTATGAAATAAAAGAGTTGTAATGAAGATTGGTGAGCATTTCTTTAAATTTGAACCGAATGATGGAGGAGAGGCATTTATATGAAATTGGAGTGTTGAAAAATGACTGAGAAATAGGTGAAGAGAAAATTAATTTTAAAGATTTCACCAAACTCCTCCTAGTTCTGTGATGGATATATTTAACCAAATCTGAGAAATGTGAATTAATACACAAACTTATTCATCCAATATATTTTCTTACTTTGTTTTTCTTATCTTATAAATTAACACACAAACATTTTTTTTTTATATGAATCATTTATCCAATTATATTATGATATTATCTTATTTTAAAAATACTTTACAAAAATTACTGAATCACATATACAAAACAATAGAATAGAATCCCATCATAGTCCAAAGAATGGAGATGAAAAGTGGGTTGAAGTTTTGAATTTGATCATTCTATTATCTCAATTATGTTGTTTTAGTCCCTTTACCTCATTTTTAATAAATTTAATTTTTATACTTTTATTAAAATTTGATTAAAAACAATTGATGACTTTTGCAGTTAAATTTAACAATATGAACATTTTTGTTGATGACATTATATGTCAATTTAAATTTCTTTATTACATGGCACATATTTAGTATAAAAGTATTATTTTTAACAAAAGATATTAAAAAATGTTTTTTAAAATTTTAATTAAATAAAATATGATATTTTCTAGATTAATATGTGTGTCGTAATTAAAAAATTAATTCATCCCAATACGTCGAATTATCACCGAAATATCATATCTTTCAAATTAAAAGCAAAATCCTAATATCATTATCAATTATCTTTAAATCAATTTTTAATAAAAATAGATGAACTATATAAATTCATTAAAATTAAGATAATGAGACTAAAGTTATGGAATTGAAATAGTAAAAGTATGATGTAATACTTTAAAAAGCGTCTCAATTATTTAAGAAAATTCAATATGTCCTCATTCTCCAATTGCATTCAATTAATTTATTTTGAACTAAATAAAACTTTATGATTAATGTTATCAGCTATCATTAATTAAAATATTATTTATTATTTTATATTCATTCAATTTTGATGTGACATTAATGAAAAATCATTTGATTTTAATGTGACAGATGATGTAAAAGATAAAAATATCATAAGATTATGTCATCATATTATATCAATATTTTATATTTATAATAAAAATATAAATATTTAATTAAATTTAATAAAATAATAAAAAATTATTTTAAAAATTTTTAAATAATTCAAAAAATAAATAAAATATTATTCCCAAAATATCAAATTCAGTCTTTGTCTTATAAAAATTTCAATTAGACAATCAAATAGCTCGAAGAGGGGAGGGCATATTGGTGAATGTAGAGGAAGAAACCGAGCCAAGTAGGCAAAGGGCTGCTAAATGACATGGACGACACGCAAGATGCCATATGTGTGGCTCCACGTTCCATCATTCAATGGAGGGTTCGTTCTCGGTAGTGGGGTCCATGTTGGAAGCCTCTATTGCTGGCATATAGAGGGGAAGGGCAAGGTGTTGGCGACCCATAGGGAGCGAAGGCTCGGATGGGGCCCGCTCAGGGCCGAGGATTTGTTGCGTTGTTCGCTGTGGCCACCCAACCGCATTGGTGCTAATACGGACGATGCCCTTCCCACCATCACAAAATACAATCTTCAAGACGGCTCCCCTATCCGGCTTTTGCTTCTCTCTTCCTTCACTCGGCTTTGGCTCGTGGCTTTTTCTCTTCTTTATCTTTCTTTTGTACAACAAATTAAAAGGGTTTTTTCTTTTTATTTTTATTTTTTTTGCAGTTAATGGAAAAGGGGTTTATTTAAAAAAAAAAAAAAACAAAGGGGTTTGCCGTCTTATTCTCTAATCTTGAGCAAAAGTTAAAGAAGTTTCCTCAATTGTTTCAAGACTTTTTGTTGGATGAGATGGATTGTGCTAGAAGGAGAACATTAGTTAGGTTTTTCTTTTCTTGGTGATAATAAATATTACAATTTATATTCAAGTAGATAATTTTTTTTTATTTGTTTATCTTATCTTAATTATTTTATTAATATATTTGATATTTAATTTTATTTTTAAATAATTCTTTCGTATCTTTAAAAGATATTTTTAAACATTCATAAGCAACCATATAAAGAAATAATATCAATTTTTTTTGTCAATAATAATTTATTTGAATGACCAATAACTTGAATGTAGAATACGGAATGAGATCTTAGGTTTAGCTTGATTCTTTTTTTCAATCATTACTTGGATTATTAAAACAATGGCATCTTGAACTGAAAATTGGAAAAAGACTTTACACTCATCTTAGATTAAAAAAATGCATAACCTCTCTCAATTAAATATAAAATAGACCTATTATTCGGTACTCTAATAATTGATAATCACATCTCTAACTAGAGCTTTTTTCATGAACCCACAAATGCTTGACAAATTTTAATTCTATTGAATGAGGACCAAAATTAACAAGTAAAAATTTGGTTGTTTGTACAACTAAGCCTACCACTAATCTTTAAAATTGTTGTACACTCCATTCTTTTAAAGAATATCATCTTCATTGATGCTTTCAACTTTCTTTTTAATTTTCAGAGCCACCTAAGAATCTCTCTGCCCATAAAAGTTCCATTATGTCACTTTCTTTACTCTTTTGCAAGGATGAATAAAAGGGTTGGCGTTTAAAAGATGACAAAGCCCTCCCTTTGGCTATGGGAACTTCCCTCTTCATTAGCTCATCCGAACTTTTAAAGTCTTTGGCTTTATTAGATTCTCATTTTCTATATGAAGAATAAAAACAAATAAATAAAAAGGATGTGGCTAAATTTGCAAGCAAGAAGCAAAGCCGAGCAGCTGACCCGAAAAAACTGGGGCCCCTACCCTACAAAGGGACTGAATTGCAAATGCCATTTTTAGCCTAAAGTCTAGAGTGACACATGAGAGGTCCATGTTCGAAGTCCTTTCAGAAAGGTCGGCTATTTGGATGGACACCATCCTCCCCCATCTTCTCTGTCAGTGTTACTGTTGAAAAGTCAATTCCCCCCATCTTCAGCATTCTCTTTTTCAATTTGTTTCCAAATACAACTCTACAACTATATATTAACATCAGTCTACATCATTTCTGCGCACATATCTTTCTTTCTTAAATACCATTATGTCGTTGATGATGAAAATCAAGCACTAGAGTATAGATATACAAATTTTCAACTTATCTTGTCAAATGATTTACATACTGAATAAAGTTAACATATATTTATTGGGATTTTCGAGATAATGAAATCTTAATCATAATTTAATAAATTATAGTTATACATAAACGATTGATTGAGAACCTGTACTTACCGATTGCTCCTAGAGATAACATTCGAGATTGGGAAACGAAGATTCCAATTTCCAAAGACAGAAATATTATCTTGTATTTTTTTTTTGTTCATAGGGATAGATATCTTAGCCATATAGAATCCAACCAAGAAAGCAAAAACAGTTGAAAGTAACAAGAAATGTGATGGAAGGATGGGGAATAATGTGAGGAAGGACCCGTTCCTCTCTCTCTCTCTCTCTCTCTCTCTCTGTCTCTCATACTTTTGAAGTGCTTTGGGTTTTACTTTTTGGAACTGTGGAGGGTAGAGAATCATCTACACAACTCAGAAATTCATCGTGGACCATCCAAAATAAGCAACTGAGATTTCCTCCCTCCCACCATTATGGCAAAAGCAATATGGGATAAATTAAGATGCCACATGGGTTTCACGCATTCCTCTAAAAAAGAAAAAGACCCAAAAAAAGGAACATATTCCTTTCCATGATTCAATTTTTCGTGTAAGATATAGTTACAAAATTAATTAGTCATATGCTTTGAAAGACAAGTATAACTATATAACTATATATATTTCATTTCATTTTGCACTACTATAAATGGTCTTAGTATCTCAAACTAAT